CCCAGCAAGTCCTGAGAGTCTGTCAGGGGATCGAGTGACCCAGATCCTCAAGGACGGGCTTGTTTCCCAGGGGGGCTGGGAGTCACAGGGTCTGAGGCAGGTGATGGGTGGGGTGGTCATGGCAGAGGGGATGTGGGGCACAGGCTGGGGAGGGGGAGCTGAGCTCATGTGGGGAGAAGGCAGCCCCCACCCTGCCTGCCCCATCCTGAACCTAGGAGGCTCTGAGGATAGGTCTCTCCCAACCACAGTGTGTGAGGGTCTCTGTGGGGAGGTGGTAGGTGCCTACATGTGGGGATGGGGGACGGGGAGCTATAAGGGGTTCTGGTGCCTCTGAAGTCTCTCACTTGTACACGCCCTGCCCTTTTCTGGGCCTCAGTGTCTCCAGATGTAAAAGGACAGAATTCTTGTCCAGAGCTCAGATTTCCTGTCAGTTCTGGCTCTGACCTACTGGGAGAGGGGACTCACAGGGAAGCCCCTGGGATGTGATGTTATGGGGCCTGTCCCCTCTGTCTCAGTGATGGTGACACTGTACAGGGAGGGACAGGCAGGATAATGGTCCAGGCATCCAGGTCCTATGCCTCAGCTCAGGCTCAGCCCAGAGGATGGAACAGGGTGGATCAGCCCTGGTTCGGCTCCTGGCTCTGCTGCTCCTGCTGTGGGGCTGGGCGGTCCCTTCTCTCCTCTGAGTGTCCGGTTCCTGTCTGCTCATCCCTGGTCCCATCCTGCTCACAGGCTGCTGGGAGATGAGGTGACATAAGGGCCTCACAGAGCTCAGGAAGGCAGAGCCCCCAGTCCAGCCTGACCTTCCTAGGGGGCTGTCAGAGACCTGTGGGTGGAGAGGGATCCAGGAGAGACTCAGAGTCCACCTCTCATCTTGCCCCTCCTGTCCCTGCTGTGCTGGGACGAGTACTGAGGAAGGACCCTCAGCTCCAGATGAAACGTGGACAGGCTCCTGCAGTGGAGGAGCCCAGAGCACAAATCTGCTGTCCACGTGGGAGGTGGGGAGGGGGTAGCGTGAGGAAAGCACAGGGAACCCACAGTCCCCGGTTCCAGTCCCAGCCCCGCCCCCTCCAGGCTGGGTGACCTGGGGCATGACTGAGCCTCAGTATAGTGGGTGGTGGGGTCAGCAATGCCTGGTGCCTGACTGCTGTGAGGTGAGAGGAGATAAATGACAGACCCAAGCCTGTGCCCCGCACACAGTAGGTGATCATTAAACAGCATCATCGGCTCATTCATGAAGTCACTAATGTCCTAGGTCTCAAATGGTACTGGATAGCTGTCTTAGTGGCCTTGGTCCTGCTGCTCTCCCTTCTTCTCTTCCTCCTCCTCCGTCATCGGCGTCAGAGCAAAGGCAGGACCTCAGGTGAGTAGGGAAGGGGGTGACCTGGGTCACACAATGGGGGGCTCAGAGCAACTGCTACAGGAAAACCAAATAGATGGAGAAGGTCAGCTGAGAAAAGGATTTCCCCAGAATCTCAAATCAGAAATCCTAGGAAGAAGACACTCACTGTCAGCACAGACGGACAGAGGTAAGGTCATCTTTCATCCTTTTCAACCTCATGAATAGGAATCATTCTCACAAGCGCTTTTTCCGAATCTCTTGCTTGCATTTCGTCCTCCTTGGTCATGGTGTGTGATCTTTTTAATTTATTGCTGGATCTGGCAACATGAGGGTAATTGACAAATTGACAGCAACAGTGAAATCAAGGAGACGCTGTTCTGTCTCACTGTCTCTCTCCAGCAGAACAGGCCGCATGAAGGCCCCCAGGAAGTCTGTACGGCCAGGTGAACTGTTCAACATCAAGACTCAGGCAGGGAATGACTACCTCTCTTCCTTTCCTATCAGGGGAATGTTTGGACATGAAGGACAGACAAGCAGAAGAGAACAGACAGATGGACAGTCAGGTGGGTCCCATCCTCCCCAGGCCCCGAGGCTTCTCAAACCCCAACCACGTTTCATCCCTTTCTCTCCCCCTGCTCCAGGCTGCATCCAATGTCCCCCAGGATGTTACCTATGAGCAGCTGAACCTCTTGGCCCTTAGACAACAGATGAGTGCACCCCCATCCTCCCCATCACAGGAGCCCTCAGAAGAGCC